TGCTGGTGGAACGTGGTGGGCAGTGTGTGGGGGGGTGGTGAGGGCTGGGGGGCATAGGGGGAGGAGCTGCTGGAGCGTGGTGGGCCGTGGGGGGTGGGGTGTGGTGAGGGCTGGGGGCATGGGGGGAGGAGCAGGGGGTGGTGAGGGCTGGGGGGCGTGGGGGGGGAGGAGCAAGTGGAGTGGGCTGGCTGAACCAGGACCCTCGGTCCTTCAGGAGACCTCCCTTCACTGCCTGGAGAAGGAGGGGCGCCCAGGTCCACGGGCTCTCTTTCTGGGGCCCTAGGACTGCGGGCCATGTCCCCGTGCCGTGGTGGCTCACAGCGCCACCGTGTGGCTTCGCCGGCAGGACCTGAGTGGAGGCCCGCCATCATGGTCCCAGGTCCCAGCTCGCTCTCCTTCCTCCCGTGCGTCCTGTACAGCTGCCCTGTCGCTTGTGGTTGCCACTAGCCACAAGTAACTATATTTAAACTAGTTAAAATGAAATACAAGTTAGCCTCGTTTCTTCAGTCCTGCGGCCACGTTTCAGGTGCTTGGTCGCACGCACGGCCAGCGGCCACGCTGTGGGCAGTGCAGTCTGTGCGCAGCGCCGCCTGCATCTGCCGCGGCGGCCTGTTCTCCACCAGAGTGTCCGTCTCAGGAGAGTGGGGTTCACTGCGAGCTGCGGGCCAAGTTGGGGCACTAATAATGCCTGTGGCTCCAAAGGGCCTTGACCACAGGCTCCTCAGGCCCCCCTCCACCCCAGGCCTGGCATAGGCATCCTGCGAGCTCCCAGGGAAGCACGGGGTCTGCCCGGGGGACGCATGGCCTGGATGGAGACGGGACCGCGGCACGTGAGGGCCCGGGGCGGGGTGGTCGAGGATCTCCTGGGCAGAGGGGCCTGTAGGGGGCAGGTGGGCAGGGGCCGCACTGGCCTGGCTTCTAATGAGACGTCTGAGCCTGCGAAGGCGGCTCCCTACCCTCAGTTCCGTTCCACACACAGCCCCGCCCCCCGGGCACTCTGGCTCCCTTCACGGCTGATCCTGCCCCCCTTGCTCTGCCCCTTTCAGGGGGTGCTCTCCGACCTCACCAAAGTGACGCGGATGCATGGAATCGATCCGGTGGTGCTGGTCCTCATGGTGGGCGTGGTGATGTTCACGCTGGGCTTCGCAGGCTGCGTGGGGGCGCTGCGGGAGAACATCTGCCTGCTCAAGTTTGTGAGTGGCCGCGCCATGGGGGCCGGGAGGGGGCGGAGGCGGGCCCTGCTGGGCGGGCTCTCACCAGATCTGGTGGGCGGCGCCACTCTTACCAGCCCCCCACTCCCCAGTAGTGGGGGTGCGGTCTTCTGTATCCCGCTGCCCACCGAGTGGTACAGCTACAGGGAGCAGGCCAGCCACGCCAGCTCCTCTTCCCGGGAGGAGTGGGCCTCTGACCTTCCCTCAGGTTGAGAACAGCTTGTCTGTTCTGCCCCTCACCTTTGCCCTCCGGGCTGAGATGAAAAGATGTGCCAGTGATGGTGGGACATCGTTTCCCTCCTGGGCGTGTCAATCTACTGGGTGTGTGTTGCAGAATCCTTGATTTCCTGGCAGAACGCGGGTTACTAAGAGTTTGGGTTTATATTTAGATACAAATTCCTTTTGAAATGCGTTCAGTTAAAATTAAATGGCACCTGGTGGGGAAAACACATAATCATGTTTTACAATATATTATTTGTTGGATTTATTAGATCAAGCTTTCTCTTTCCTGGGCTTAACTTAAAAAGCAAAAAACGTGTTTTTTTTCCTAATTTTTTCCTCTTAAAAATGCTATGTTTAGCGTCATCTGTGTGAGTGGAGATTGCATTTTGGAGGGCCTCGTATGTGTGTGCATACGTGTGTGTATGTGTGGTTGCGTTGTGTTTCCGTGAGTGTGCACGTACGTGTGTGCGTGAGCGCGTTTGCATGCATGCATGTGTGTGCACGTGTTTGCATGTATGCGTTTGTGTTTGCGTGTGTATTTGTGCATGTGTGTGTACATGTCTGTGCATCTGTGTATGTGTGTGCATGCTTGTGTCTGTACATGTGCGTCTGTTGATGTGTGTGCACTTCTCTCTGTCTTGTCTTGAAAGGCCCTGTGTGTGCCAGGTATGGTACAGCCACTCCTGTGCTGCACGGCCGTGGTAGAGGCTGTGTGGATGTGTTCTGCGGGCAGAGTTGGCTGGGTGGAGGCAGTACCGCTGTGGCTGGGGGCCCTGCAGGAGGCCCCTGCTGTCGAGGCTGGGCAGCGTGCTCTGGAGAGGTGGTCGTGTGGTGGGCTGTCACGTCCTCACAGGCGGGGTGGGTGTGGAGACGCTGGCAGCTCATGGCTGTAGCTAGCTGGTCGGGAGCTCAGCCGTCCCGTGTGCGTTGTGCCCCCTGGGCAAGCTCCATGGACCGAGCGGCCTCGTTCCCCATCCCTGAAGCGCGGGTGACGAGAGATGCCTAGCAAGTCGGATGGTGGCGGTGGGGAGAGTGGTTAGAAGGGGTGTCTGCGGCACAGGCCCTGCCCTGACGGCGCTGATGGCCTGGCGGGTGGGATGGCCATCCCTCCCGTGGGGCTTTCCTCCTTGTTGGGGGGCTGCCTCATAGGGCACAGTCGGCACTTGGCCCGGAGCTTGCTGTGCTTCGCTCCTGCCCACAAGCCAGGGCGGGGCGAACACCCCGCTTTGCAGACAGGCGGAGTTGCTGGAGGGACCAGCTCGCGCGGTGGGCTCCCCGCGTCCCCCGCGGGCCTCCGTGTGGAGCGCCGCGAAGACGGGTCTCGGGGTCCGCTGAGCACGGCCGCCGGGCTGCAGGTGGCTGACCGCGCCCTCACCCTGCAGTTCTGCGGCGCCATCGTGCTCATCTTCTTCCTGGAGCTGGCCGTGGCCGTGCTGGCCTTCCTCTTCCAGGACTGGGTGCGGGACCGCTTCCGCGAGTTCTTCGAGAGCAACATCAGGTCCTACCGCGACGACATCGACCTGCAGAACCTCATCGACTCCCTGCAGAAGGCCGTAAGCGCGGTGGGGCTCTCGCGGTGTGGGGGCTCGGGGGTGCTCAGCGGGTCTCGTGGGGAGGTCGGTGGGACTCGTGGGTGGCGGGGCTCTCCCGGTGTGGGGGCATGGTGGGACCCATGGGGGGCTCGGGCGGGCGCATGGGGTGCAGCACTGCCTGTGGCGGGTGGGGCTGGGCCCGTCGGGGGCGTGTGGGGTGTGGGAGGGCTGGTGGAGGGTGGGGCATGGCCCGTCGGGGGCGGGGCGGTGGCGGCCTCGGTGGGGCTGGGTCTGGGGGGGGGGGGGCGCTTGCCGGGCCAGGGTAGGGGCCTGGCCAGCTTGGCTTTTGCTTTGCCTGCCTGCACTTGCTCCCGTGCCCACCCTGCTTGGATTGGGCGGCAGGCGCGGCCTCCCTGGCTACCCTCCCCCAGGGTCGGTCCCCTCCTCCCCTGCCTGGGGGCCCGGGCGCCGCGGGCACCAGGGCACCGCCACCTCCCTTGGCGCGTGACCTGCCGTCTGAGGCTTTTCCTGCCCCTCCCTCCCCGGGGCCTCTTCCCCTTCCTGTCTGAGGAGGCCGACCCGCCTGGGGGGTGCTTCGGCCGGTGGAGAGGAATGTCACCTTCTGGGAACACGTCCTGGGCTTTGTCTAACCAGTCCCAGGTCGGGGCCTTTGCTCCATCTGGTGTCCATCCCCCTCGTGGGCGGCTGTACCTGGAGGCTGGGGCCAGTGTCCCTACCCTGGGAGGACCCCGTGCCCCCAGGCCAACTGCGCTCTGCCAGAAAACCCAGCTCCCTCAGGACTGAGCACAGCGCCATTCGTTCGCAAGTGTTGAAAATAACTGCGGTCTGCCCTCCTTATTAATCAAGACTCCTCTTGCCCTTATTCTGGGTGTCATGGGATCCAGCAGAACCCATTTCTGTGACCAGAGACCCTTTCTGTGTTGTTAAGGGTGGCCTGTATTAGCCTGTGACAGTCACCATCCAGCCGCTTTCTGGAGCCCTGCTGGCCACCTCTGCCTGCCTTCGGTTCTGCTCTGTCCACTCAGAGCCTGGGCTTGCTGGTATCCAGCATGCTGGCTGGTTCCTCTCCCCAGCCTTGAAGATGCTGTCCTTTTCTCCATTGCCTGCCTTTTTTTTAAAAAATAGTAAATTCTCAGTAAATCACGGTGCTTCCTGTGGCGAGATGTTAGGGAACCGAAGAGCTCCTGGAACCCCGGGGTGGAGTGGGTCGACAGGTTCAGCTTAGAAGTGAAGCCACCGGAAGTCCTGGGTGTGTGTTGTGACATGGCATGGCCATCAGTTGCAGGGGCAGATGCAGCTACGAGTCTGCCCTCCGGTCGGGACGCCATTACCGGCACAGCGCTGCTGTCGGTGGGGCTGGTCTTACGGGTGTTCAGAAAGATGGGTGTTTTCTTTGAGCTGCACCAGCTGTGGGGGTGTGGAGGGCTAGAGACCCCGGTTGGGGCAGAGCGTCGATGGTGTTACCATCTGCCCAGGCCCAGTTCCTTCCTGGGAATGACAGGCAATAGCTGGTTTATGTAAAGAGGCAGAAGGGGTCACCAGGCCCGCTGGAAGGGGATTGGGGAGGAGGACGCGCTGCCCACAGGAGGGTCCCCTGGGGTGGCGGAGGGTGCATCTCGGTGCGGAGGGGCCTGCAGGGCAGGCCAGAGGGGAGAGCCCAGTGTCAGGAGGGATGGAGCCGGTGCTGGTGTCCTGTGCGCAGCCTGTGATGCGTGTGGCCCGGGAGGTGGTGTGGCTGCAGCCTCCTTGTAGGGGCTGCCTGGGTCGTGTCACTCAGCCTCTCCGTGCATGTGGGAGGTCAGGGGGTGGTCCACGTTGGCGTACTTGCCCCGGGACCGACCCCTGGGTGAGCCCAGCCCTGTCGGAGACCCTGACGTTCTGGCGTCTGGTTGCAGAACCAGTGCTGTGGGGCGTACGGCCCTGAAGACTGGGACCTTAACGTCTACTTCAACTGCAGCGGCGCTAGCTACAGCCGCGAGAAGTGCGGGGTGCCCTTCTCCTGCTGCGTGCCTGACCCTGCGGTGAGTCAGCCTGCGCCTGGGCCGAGCACCCCTCCTGGGGCCAAGCGTCCCTGACTCAGGGTCTTGGGCCTGGATTAAGGCTGGATGAATGCCCTGCTCACCTCCCCCCACCGCCCCAGGGCTCCTGAGCTCTGAGCTCCTAGATGTGTAAATTCCAGGAATGCCTTTGTGTGGCCCACCCTGGCCCTGTGTTCTGGGTGAGGCAGGAGAGAAACAGTCTCCTGCTCCCTCTGGGCGCCGGGACAGGGTGCTGCCAACCGGCCCGGGCCTGCCCTCTCCTTCCCCCCTTTCTGGAGGAAACGCCCGTCCTCCAGCTCGCCCTCCAGCCCGCGGGGGCAGCGGGACAGCAGCATGCATTACCATCGGGGGAGAGAGAATTCCCCTGTTCTTTCTTCACCTGTTTTCATGCCCAGGTCCTTGGGTTCCAGACCCTGAGCCCCTGCGATGACCCTTGAGGGAGCACTGAGCGTTTGCCTGGACTGAGCCTGAACAGAGCAGAGCCCATCCCAGGGCACAGTGCTGTCCCGAAGGCCTGGCTCTGGGCCCTGGGGCGTCGTCTCTGTCCCGTGGGCGAGTCCCCACCCAGAGTGGCTTGCGTTCTGGGAGGTTGTACGGCCCATGTCTGAGGTCTCCACTTGACTGTGAGATGTTTAACAAGTGTGACTTTTACCTCCTGGCCCCAGGGCTGGCAAACTGTGACCCCCAGGCCGAATGTGGCCTGCTCTCTGCGACCTGTGAGCCCAGAATGGTTTCAGCCATTTTTAAATGGTTGAAAATAAATCAGAAGGGTAATATTTTGTGACACGTGAAAATTACATGAAATGCACATTTCAGTGCCCGTAAGGAAAGTGTCATGGAAATATAGCCGTGCCCGTTTGTTTACGTGCTGCTGATGGCTGCTTTCACACTACAGCAACACAGCTGAGTAGTTGCTGCATAGACAGGTCTGAAATATTTACTGTCCAGCCCTTCACATGAAAGGTTTGCCAGCCCCCGTCCTAGCAGGAGAGGTCCGCTGGCAGCGTGACTGCAGGACGTGAGCCAGGATGGAATCTGCACCGGCGTTTGGTTGTGAGGTTGCTAGAGCTTTCTACCGTCATCTTCTTGAGATCAAAAATGGCTGATTTTTCTTGCTTCTCTTACAGCAAAAAGTCGTGAACACGCAGTGTGGATACGACGTCAGGACTCAGGTGAGTCCGGCGTCAGGAGTTCTCCGGGTGTGTTCCCTGTGGTCCAGCTTCCTGATTTAGCCCGGGTGCCAACTGGAGTGGGAAACCAGGATGTGGCCCAGAGGTGCCGTCTGAGCGGAGCACATGTGCTCCCTTCCTTGTTGGTGGCAGCAGGACTCGGGGACAGCAAGGGCCGTGATTTCCAGCCCCATGGACTGTAGCCACAAACCTAGCCATTGCTGCATTAGTGGAAAGAGGTCGGACGAGAGTTCTGGGCGACAGACTCTGAGATCCGGGTGTCTGTGACATAGGATCCTGGATGCAACTGCGCAAGCGTGGGGCTTGCTCCAGCCGCCGTCCGGGGGCAGCGTGACAGCAGGAGGACGTGGGGTCTCAGGGCAGGAGCAGGCCCCGTCCTCCAGGACTTTCCACAGGCCGCAGGGGTGTGCACCTGGATGAGCAGAGTCCACCCTGGTCCTCGCTCTGGTACCTGTGGTGATGAGTGACTGCTGTTCTGAAGGGGGGGTGTCTCGGGGAATCGCTGGACGCCCTTCTTGCTGGCCGTGCCACGCGGGACGTGTCCCTCCAGTGTGGGAAACCTGCCGTCGCCCTGCAGTGGCCTCCGTTTCACAGGGAGGGGCCCATGTCCACCTCAGCTGCTGTCTCCACTTAGGAATCTCGCTGCCCCTGGATCGGTTTCTGGGGCTGCTGTCGAAGTACCCAGAGTGGCTTAAGCGGCAGAAGTCATGTCCTCAGCATTCTGGAGGTTAGGGGTCCAGACCCAGTGTCTGCAGGGCTGGTTTCTCCTGAGGCCTCCCTCCTGGGCCCATGGACAGAGCCTCCTGCCTGTGTCCTCACATGGTCTTCCGTGTCTGCATCCTGCAAGGACACAGGCCTGTTGGATGGGGGCCTGTATGACCTCAGGTTAACTTGTTCACCTCTGTATTGGCACTGTCTCCAACCATAGTCACGTCCTGAGGCCCTGGGGTTACGACTTGGACGTGTGAGTTTGGGGGACGCAGTCCAGCCCGACACCACTCCAGGGAGCTCCTGTCCCATCTGCATTGGGCTGGGCAGTGAGGCCCGGGCTGGCTGCTGTGCAGGTGGTGGGCATGTGTGCCTGGGGAGATCCCGCGCTCAGGAGCCGCCATCAGGAGGCAGGATGGGAGGGAGCCAGGTGGCACATCTCCGGCTCCTGGTGCCAGCCTCCCCAGGCTGGGGACAGTCTGAGCAGCCACTGTCCGTCCGTCCTTCTGGCCAGCTCCCCAGATGACACTGAGCCCCCTTCTGGCTTCTACCCCTAAAGGCCCCTCTTCCTCTCCAAGCCCCACCCCCTTTCTCCAGGGGTGGGCTGTGAGGAACGGGGACTGAGCTGACCTTTAGGTCTGTGGGGGGCCAGCCCAGTGGCCTGGTGGTTAAGTTCAGTGTGCTCAGCTTTGGGGACCCGGGTTCCCTTCCCGTTCCTGGCGCAGACCTACACCACTCATCTACTAGCGGTGGTGCTGTGGCAGCGGCTCACATACAGAAAGAGTAAGATTGGCACAGATGTTTGCTCAGGGCCAATCTTCCTCAGCAAAAAAAAAGAAAAAAAAGAAAAAAAGAAAAAAATGAAAAAAAAGAAAAGCCTGTGGACACCCTGACAGAGGCAGGTCCAGGTTGCAGCAGGGAGCCTGGCTCAGGGAGGTTGTAAGGTGCACCCTGCCCAGGGAGGGACTGGGCCCGAGACCTGCCTCCTGGGTCCTCGTTCCTGCGGGCTCTGCACTGCCCTGTGGGAGCCCGTGGGAACTGGGTGGGCATAGCCTGTGGCCATGTCTCAGGCCCTGGTGGTGTTCCCTGCAGCTGAAGGGCAAGTGGGAGGAGTCCATCTTCACGAAAGGCTGCATCCCGGCGCTGGAGGGCTGGCTCCCACGGAACATTTACATCGTGGCCGGCGTCTTCATCGCCATCTCCCTGCTGCAGGTCTGTCCGCCCTCGGTGGCTCACTCTCCCGTCTGGGTTGGACCCGGTTCCTCACATGAAAGACATTGGTGGCTGAGGGGGCAGCAAGGCCTCGGGTGGATGGGCTGGCTTCGGCCAGGAGAAGGATTCGGGGCAGGAGGTCAGGAATTCAGCGAGGCAGGGACGTGGGCAGTTCCCCTGCGTGCCCTGCTCTGGGTTGGGGATGCTGTGTTGTGTGGAGGCCCCCACGGATGAAGCGGGCTCCGACCTCACCTTGCAGGGTCACCGAGGGGGGTCTGGGCCCCAGCTGTTCACACCCTCCTCCACGCAGCCGACATCTCGGGGGAAGGCCCCAAGACCCAGCCATCTAGAAAAGGAAGGAAAAAGTTTACTTGCAAATTGGGCAGGGGATTCAGACTTCAGAAGAACCGGCTCATCAAATACAAACCACGAGAATTTAAAGGGAGGAAAGAAAGCAGAGTCCTGGGGTTCCCGTTAGTCTGTTCCTGGTAGAAAACTTCAGTCTTCCCACGTGACTGTCCCCGTCCCCAGGGTCAGAAGGTAGCTCAGACATCAGCACAGCCCAAATCAGGGACAGCCTGGGTCAAGATGGAATCCAGGCTTGCAGGGAACATTCAGGATTTAGTTTTTGGGAATTAGAAAGTCAGGTTGGCCCTGTTACTTCTGGTTTCACCGGGCACCGCGTGCGTCTGGCCAGTGGTACATGGCGTGCACAGTCGTGCTGGGCACAGGGCCGCGTGCCCGGTGCTGCTGTGGCATCTGCTGGCTGCCCTCTGGGCTCTAGGGAAGCAGCAGCACAGATCCCGGGGCCCACTGGGGATGGGGGTGGGCCTCACCTCCCCGCGGGCTCGGATTGCTGTCTCCGCAGGGTGGGCGCGGGAACGTGAGCAGCACGGGGTGCCTGCACCCTCTTCTTCTGCGCCCGCCCTCTCCCTCTGAGCTCCGCTCTGTGCCCCCCTCTGCCCCGCCCTCGCCCTCTGGGTCCCCCTCTGCCATGCTCTCTCTCTCTGCACCCCCCCATGCCCCGCCCTCTCTCTCTGGGTCCCCCTCTGCCCCGCCCTCTCCCTCTGCGGGGGGGCCCCCCTCTGCCCCGCCCTCTCTCTCTAGGTCCCCCTCTGCCCCGCCCTCTCTCTCTGCGCCCCCCTGTGCCCCGCCCTCTCTCTCTGGATCTCCTTCTGGGCCGCCCTCTCCCTCTGGGCCCCTCGCTAATGGCAGCTGCTCTGCTGGCTCTGGTTGCAGATATTCGGCATCTTCCTGGCGAGGACCCTGATCTCGGACATTGAGGCAGTGAAGGCAGGCCATCACTTCTGAGGAGCGAAGACGAGCGAGCAGAGCTGAGCCACGCCGTGGGGGCCTCGGCCCTTCCCCTCGTCAACTGGTCCAGAGGGAGGGAGCGGCCGCCCGAGCCGGAGCCGGCGGCCCGTCTTCAGCATCAGCGTGATGTGCCTCTCTGCTGCTTCTTGCTGGTGCTGAAGACGAGGCCCGTCTTACCTGCACAACTGTGTGACCAAGACCCCTGCCGGGCGGGGTCTCCCAGAGACAAGATGTGTCTTCACGTGGGGGCGGCGACTGAGGGATGGTCGGGGCTCGCGGCTGCCAGGAGGGCCTGACCTGGTGCCCTGGAGCGTCTGCAGACACTGTGTGCCGTGGGTGCCGGCCGGGGGGACAGCCGTGTCTGGGAGCGGGATGTGGGTGGGGCCCGGCAGGTATGGACGAGGCCCCGTGCAGCCTGTGATGGGGCTGGGGGGTGGGGGGCGGGGCACGTGCAAGTGAGTGGACGCCTGAGTGCCGGCCCTGCGGCTTCTGAGGGTCGGGCACGTGTGCGATTCTCTGCCACCTCGCGTGACATAGCCTGAGCCAGGGTGTGGGATGAGTTCTGGGACCCAGTCCCTCCCTCCCTGCAGGCGGGAGCTGTGTCCGGTTCCACCGCGCTGGGCCCCATGATGCGAGGAGTAGGGCGGGTCCCCCGACAGCTGGCCCCCTTTTCTAAAGTGTGTAAATAGTCTATTTATCGGTAAGAGTGTTCTCCCCCGCTTCTGCGTGCCCCGGCGTTGTCCGGAGCAGCTGCCAGGCGCCTGGGAAGAGGCCAGGCTCGGTTCCCTGCAGCGGCCCGTTTGCTGCCTGACAGCCGGGTGCTGCGCGCCCCTCACCACCTGCGCCCTGGCAGCCCACTCTCCCCGGCTCGCCTCACTCCGGTCTCGGTGCTACTGAAACTCACCCACAACTTGAATCCTGTGCCCCAGCTGCAGCCCAGGAGCCAGCCAGAGCCGGTGACGCCTGGGGCCAGGGCTGCTCTCGGCCGGGTGCACGGGCTGGTCGGCCTGGGTTGCCCCCCTACCCCCGGGGAGGAGCTGTGCGGCCAGCCCAGCCCGCGCTGCCAGACGCCCAGACTGTCACCCTGGCTTTCGAGGGGACCTCTCCCCAGACCGGGGCGTCTTCCGACACTGTCCACCCTTCCTGTCCGGGCTGTTCCGGGCTCGTTCCTGGGAGTGACATCTGTCTAGTGTACCCGATACCCCGGGGGGATGGAGGACCGCGTGCGTCCAGCTGGCTGCTTTCTGACGCCTCCCTGGACCTCGTGCCAGTTCTGTCCTCATGGTCCAGGGGTCGAGTGCTGCCTCCGCCTCCTGCCCAAGTGAACGTGCTGGTGTGGTGGGTGCCACTGGGTGTGTGTCCATGTTGTTGTTACAATTTTTTTTTTTTTTTTTTTTTACAGTTTTTCCCGTAGACTAGGGGGAGAAGAATGCTTGTGTTTTAGGAACTGTGATGCTTTTCTTTGACTGCCAAACTCTTTTATGGAATATATCTTTATACTAATGCTGGTGTCTGGTGGTTTTTGTTCTGGGTTACATCTATGTGGCATTAAGCATCTCAGGGGAACCCTGGCTGCCAAGGGAACCAGCGGGATGGGGTGTGGCTGACACAACAGGAGGTGGATGTGGAGGGTCCATGGTGGGTACAGGCTGAAATGAGTGGCACCAAGTGAACTTTTAGACTCCCTGTGCCCCTCCCAGTTGCCTCTGTGTGGAGGGTGCAGCTGGCACAGGCTGGCTCGGGGCTTAGTTATGTTTAGCTAGAAGCACGAGGTTGAAGAGTCTGACCTCACAGGCCCGGAGGAAACAGGATTTTAGGTTGTCTCTGTCCGCCCCAGGCAGAATGATCCAGGCCGAAGGGTGCAGGGACGCTGGGCTGGACCCTGGACGCTGCATGAGCTGCCGGCCCATCTGTGGAGGGGCTGGTGGCAGCGCCCCATCCCCGGGGTCCTCTGGCCCGGCCTGCCCTGGGGGAGTCGGTGGCCGTAGATGCTGACTGCTGGTGTGTGGCCAAGCAGCTCCTGGGGGGCTCTTGCTGTCCCGTCTGTTCCGGTTGACTGGCAGCTGGACCCCTCTCGGGTTTTCACAGGGCCCGGCCCCGTTCAGGGTGGGGTCTAGCTGTGTCTTTTCAGGGAGAGGTTTGTTTTCAATTCGTTCACAGGACTCTGGTGATTTTCAGCTGTCTCCCCTGGCTCCTTGTGGCTGGATGAGGGTGGAAGAGAAACGCAGAACAGATGTGCACAGGGGAGTCCAGGTGGATATGGCCCTCTGTATGGGGCCACTGGGCAGCCTCCTGCCACTCCGCAAGGGCCCAGCTGCCCTGAGTCCCCAGACAGTGACAGGCCAGCTGTGACCTCTCAGCCCCCGGTCGCTCTTGCTGCCCAGTCTTTCCTTGCCCCCCTGTGCCTCACCTGCCCACCTCCTCCCAGGACTTCGCCATGTTGGTTGTCCCACCTCCTCTCCTTCTGTCCCCATCACGTGTCCACATCCCAGGCAGCTGCCTGTCTGGGCTCTGTGTACCCGTCTCCATCACCACCCGCCACTCTCCTCACTTGACTGACAGCTGTCACTCCAGGCGCCACACTCTTTTGGCCTCGGCAGCACCTGACAGTCTGGACCACCCCCTCCTTGGAGTCCCCTGCGTCTGGGCCCAGGGTCGTGGGTGTCTGACCCTCCCTGCCATCCTCGTCCTGCCTCCAGCTGCACCTGCCATTCTCGGCTCACCTGCCTTCAGGGGCTCTGGCTGCCCACAGGGCCGGGCTGTGAGCGGGGAGAGAGACCGTCTGTGCTGATGCAGGGGGCGGGAGCAGCAGCAAGCCGGGGGAGAGCTTTCTGGGCTGGGCAGGGGGACTGGACGCAGCCTTCTCTCCAGGAGAGACTGTGCTGGGGCCGCCGCTGGGTAAGGGGTATGCTTGTGAGTGTAGACCCTGCAGTCTCAGGGCCCCAGGGGAGAGCTCCCCACAAGAGGAGGCTGGGTCAGAGGCCAGCAGAGGAGAGTGGCCTCGCCTCAGCAGCAGGGACAGCAAAGGCCCAGAGAAAGGGGAGGGCCGTCACAGGGGCCCAGCACCCAAGGCCTCCTGTCCTGGAAGGTCCCGCCAGGTGTCGGGTGCTCAGCCCTGTCTGGCAGTGGTTCAGCGCCCCTGGCTGCACCAGGTGAGTGCAGAACCATATGACCTCAGGAGTGGGCCTCCGGGTCCAGCGCAGTGTGTGGTGTCTGTGGCCACAGGGTCGCAGGGCGTCCAGGTTGTCAGCCTCCAAACCGTGGTCCCCTGTCCCCAGTGGTGGGTCTTGGTGAAGTGCTCGCTGTGCTTGTCTGTCACCCAGGAGGATGCTGCGTGCCTCCCAGGACAGGCTGGCTGGCTGTACGCTGTCCTCTTTCACCGGGGCGTTCTCCAAAAATCCAGAGACCCACACAGCTTTAGGGCCTTCTCGCTCCTTGTAAAGTCAGCCCCACCTGGCTTTTCCCCCTCAAAGGCTTCAGTAAAGGTCTGTTCATTCTCTCATCGCTTTTGGGGTCTCCAGGGTGCCTCAGGAAGACCCGAAGCAGCCACTGAAGAACCAGGCTGCAGCACAACTTTGGGAGGAAGGAAGGTCATGGCCGCTTAAGGGGCTCTTGTTCTGACCGAGGCACCAGCATTAGAGACCCAGCCTTGGAGGAGGCAGTCAGCGTGCCCTACAAGGTCCGGGTGGGTGGTTCCGCTCTGAGCTTTGCCCCTGTGCTCCGCACCTGTGTTCCAGCAGGGCTTTTGGGAACACAGTTCATAACTTCCAAAATAAATTATCACCTGAGACTGTAGCTTTGCCACCTTGAATCACTTTGAAACTAGTTTTTTTTTTAAATGTATGAGTAAAGCAATCCAAACATGGGACAGTGTGAAACGACACTGTCTTGTCCCCGGAGGCAGCCACCAGTGAGCTCCAGTCCGGAAGGGCCTGCATATGTTCAGAGGCCTTCTTCACACAAATGAGAAGTACGTTTTACACTACAGTTGATTCTACTTAATCCGTCTCAGAAGCCTGTCTCTCTCCACCAGTGCATCACCGCCTGCGGTGCGTTCCGACGGTCATGCCCCAGTGAAGGAAATTGCTCTGCACGGGGTGTGTCTACAGGCACAGGTAACAGAAACCCGATTTAGCCAAAACCACGAGGGGAGGGTTTTGGCTCCTGGGACTGGAAAGTCCGGAGGTGGGTGAGTTTCAGGGCTGGTTTGACTCTTGTGGCTCCATGATGCCCGCAGGATCTGGTTTCTTCACCTCCCTCTGCTCTGCCTTCCAGAGTCCCCATCCCCCGAGGTGGAGGGAGGGAAGACCCCACCCGGAAACCTCAAGCCTGGTGATGGGGACAGCACGGCAGGGAAGCCATTGAGGGAAGGGCCCCCCAGGACCTCCTGTGCTTGTCGGTCCCACTGAGACCGAGTGGTGGGGAACAGCCCCCATGGAAGGGCGTGAGCATTAGGGAGGCCGCCAACAACCCACATTCCACGTCTGTGGGTGGGCGTGTCAGTCGGTGCCGTGTTTTGCTCTTACGAGGGCTTATAAGACGCTGCGGTGTTTTGTTGTTGGAATTACTTCCTAGAAGTGTTTGTAAGGGCTAGGGCCAGCCTGTCGCTGCCAGGCTATGGCTGATGTGTGGTGAGGGTGCCCTGAGCATCCGTCATGGAAGGGCTGGTTCTGGGCCGAGGAGGGTGATTGGGAGGGAGTGATGTCTCTCCAAGGACTCCCCCCAGTAGCCTCTGGCCTATGACAGCACAGATTCCACAGGGAGGTTGTGCAAGAGGGGCAAGGTGGCCCATGCTGTCCGCCTTGGCCTTCAGAGGTAGCTGGTCCTCTGGGACTGGAGGAATTTGGGCAGTGTCTTCCAGCGGAGGTCGGGACCCGTGCTGAGATTCTGTGCCACCCCCGAGGTTGCACGGGGAGGGAGCCCAGGACTGGGCAGACACCAGCCTGGCATCTGCCAGGTGTCTGGAGCTCCAGGATGTGGTGTTGTGATGTCACGTCGCAGCCTCATCTCTGCGAACGCCCTGGTGCCCTGCGATGGGGCCTGGGGGTTTGGACAGCTCACCGCCCAGTTGCTGCCCCGACGGCCGGGTGGGTCCTGCTCCCGGAGGAAGGCAGCCCCCTCCCAGAGAGGCAGGTGCACACACAGGCACAGCTGGACGTGGAGCCAGGGCAGTGGGGAGGGGAGGAGAGGCGTTGACACTGGGAGGTCGTCCCCATGGGAGACGGGGCTCTCATGGGATTGTCTGTTTCCTCGAGTGCCAGCAGGCTCCTTTGGATGGGAACAGTGCTGAGCCTGCGTCTGAGCTCGGGCTCAAAAAAAAACCCCCCAAAACCCAAAATGCCTTAGTGCCCAGCTTCTTCACCTGTAAAGTGGAGATCACTGGTTTTATTTCACAAGATTTCAGAGTCTCAAGTGAGTGAGTGCGTGTTGATGTGAGAGCTTGGGATAATTGAGAGGTGCTGAGTCCTCAGTCACCTGCTTCTCACCAGCCCTGTGGCCTCTGGCAAGTTGCTTAACTTCTCTGAGCCTTTTTTGTAAAATGAGGATAACCCCCCGATGTGGGGTGGTTCCAAGGACTGAATGAGGGGAGGCGGGTGAAGTAGCGGGCCCCCAAGTTACGGCTGCTTCGGTCACTGAGAGGTTCCAGGGGTGGCATCCCCACCTGTGAGCTTCCACCTGGACTGACATGGAAGGATCCACGCCTGTCCTTGTGGGATGGGCTTCAAGTCTTGGAGCCTCAGCAGAGCTCCTTGAGGTCTTTGCTTCCTGCATCACAGGGCCGGGGTGTGGGGAGGGGTTGCCTCGGACCTGGGTCCTGCCAGAAACCAATACAACCAGAGACGTCGCCCCTGGAGCAAGCAGGTTGGCCCTCGCCTGCCAAGGGGTCCAGGCTGTCTGCAGAGGGGGCCCATCCACCTCTCGCCTGCCCTGGGGAGGACTCCATGTCTGTGGTGGGCAGGCTCAGCAGGACTGGAGCCCCTGGGGCGTGACGTGTGTAAGACAGTGCCCGGACCCCACTGTGCTGGCCCGGCCCCCTCCCAGGAGAAAACCTTTGTGTCTAAAAACCTGTGAGTCCCGCGGGCTGGGAAAGGCAGCAGGTCAGGTGCCTCCATCACAGTTCTGTCCTCAGGCAGTGGGAGCCCGTCATGCACCCTGTGCTTCGCCTCCTGGTGGCACTGCCACCTGTGTCCTCCGGCATTTCAGCCCCATGCGCCTCTGAGGAGCCCAGGGCTGAGGCCGTGCACTGATGATTTGATTCCTTGGGCCCGAACCGTCATCCATCTGTCAGCAGGGGGCGCCATTGTGTTTCCTTTTGGCTTTAGATCTGCTGTTTTGTTTTGTTCTGTTTTTTAAAATCAGCACAGCTGTGGTCCTATACGGAAAGAACTGGAGAGGCCTCTAGGATGGACTGAGCACCCCGTCCCTGGAGGTGTGCAAACCCAGACTAGACGCCTCCCTCCTGTTGGGGGTGACATGGAGGGGTTGGAGCCAGTTTCTGTGCTG